ATTCTCTAAGAAATCAGGCTTCAGTTCAGAATTCTGGGTTTCCTCCACTGAACAAAAGACATCTGACCACATCCAGCAGGCTGTTTAACAGGCCAGGAAGAGCCAGAACCAGAAAACAAATCATCTTACTACAGGCAGACAAGAAGATAACGGGATGCCAGAACGGCAACAGGTCAACACCCTGGAATGAATGCATAACAACTGAGGACACTTCAGAGTACCAGAGAAATCCATTCTGGGCATGGTTATCTTCAAAAGTCTTTTAAATTTCTTCACTAATGAAAATGTTTACAAAATCTGCAGCTGACGCAAAGCTAGTGGGATTTGGTGAGCACTGCAGAAGAGAGGACTGGAACTGAAATAGACGTTGAGAAATAGCAGAGGCTCAGAGACCATTAAGATAAAATTTAAAAAAAAATCAAGTGTCAAGTGTTATTCTTGTAAAAACATACGCGCAAAACTGGGACTATTTGCTTGGGAAGTACAATGGCAGCCTGAAAAGAACAAAGGGAGAAAGAGATAACACAGTGTACTTCTCCTCTCCTGTAACATATGACATCAAACCAAACTCTAGAATTTTAGAGACTACAAAATAAATAGGAACAGTAGTGGATTATCTCTGCAAGCCAGCTCACCTTCCTCACACACCAGCTTTATTCTGGAATGTATTCAGAAAGGATCTTTCGACCAAGAAGATTGATAATAACCTCTATTAAGCCTTGAAAAGATCTCACTTGAATATTGTCTTTTCAACATAACACTCACAAAAATACCTTGAGGGGTTAGAGCAAATGAAGCTACTTTGAAATAGGCTCTATCTTTTAAACCTATAAATGCAGATAGATGAGTGTGTCTCCAGAAAAAAAAAATACTAAGGGGAAAGGGGCATGAATACAAGCACATTCATAACAGTTGTATTTGAACATAAATTTTACTTTTAAATTAAATAGTAATTAACTTTTCCACAAGAGAAGGAAAAGCTTGAACCAGCTCCAATTGACTTTGTTGTCAATCATATCAGGCTGAGATACACTCTATATACAACTGAGTATTGTATATTCATTTCATTACAAGCAGCACAACAACAGATGGTTACAGAGTAACCTTCCCTCCAGGATTAACCTACTTCAAGGAAAGTATTGTTTCCCTTTAACAGACAGGTCAGGAGAAGACCACTGGAGGTCACAGCCTCCTCACTCAAGCAGCATCCCCTAGAGCATGGCAGTCAGAATTTTGTCCAGACTACTTTTGAGTACTCTAGGGAAGGAAACTCTGCAACTGCTCTGGGCAGCCTGCTCCAGTGCTCAATTAGTAGAGAATTTATTCCTCACGTTCAGGTGGACGTTTCTATGTTCCAGTTTCTGCCCATTACTCAGCATTACTAAGAAGAACTTGGCTCCATCCATCAGATACTTATATATATTGATGTGATCTTCTGTAAGTCTTCTCCAGACTGACTAGGCCCTGTCCCATCTGGGATGCTCCAACCCCCATCTATGCTGCCCTCAGATGGACAAGCTCCAGGAGCTACATGCCTCTCTTGCCCTGAGGAGCCCAGAACTGGACACGTTGAATTGCAGACAGCTCCTCTATGCCCACCTCTTCAAGCTGTCGAGGTCATTCTGAAGAGTTGCACAGCTCTCTCTCTCTCAACTCCTTCCAGCTTTGTGTTGTCAGCGAACTCAGAGGCATCTGCCTCTTGATCCAAGTCACTGATGAACAAGTTAAACAATACTGGACCAGTACTGAGTCCTTGGGGACAGCACTAGAGACAGGCCTCCAATGAGATCCTGTGCGACTGATTACAACACTTGGGGATCTGCAGTTCAAGCTCAGGAAATTTGGGCTGGATGAGTGGACAGTGAGGTGCAACCTGAGCTTGCCTATGAGAATAATACCAGAGACAAAGTCAAAATCCAGGTAAACTTGCTCAAAGTCCAGGTAAACATCCACTGCTCTTCCCTTTCATCTACCCAGGTAGCTGTCTCAGCATAGAGGGGAATCAGGTTGGTTAAGCATGCTGACTACTCTTCATCATCGTTGTGTCCACCACATGTGTGGAGGTGGCCTCCAGGATGAAATGTTTCATTACTTTTTCAGGGATTAAATGAGACCAATTGGCCTGTGGCTCCCTGGAATCTCCTTCTTGCCCCCTTTAAAGACCAGGGTGGTACTTCCTTTCCTCTAGTATTGTGGCACCTCTCCTGACTGCCATGACCTTTTAAAGATCTGAGAGCAATCACATCTACTAGTTCCTTCAGCGTTCATAGGTGTGAAGGAACCCATCATAGCCCATGGACTTGTGGATGGCAAGTTCACTTCTTTATGATTTACCTGGACACATGAAAGAACATTTTTATGCAGAAGCCTGAGCATAAAGCCATCTTCTTGGAATGATTTAGCTGTTGCCCTTTTTCACATGTCACGCAGGCTAAAGCAGCTGGATTCTGCTAAGAACCAGCTGAAATACTAAAATATAATCTTTTCTGCTATTTCTGTTGCAGCAAGTGCAATTGTCTCTGGCAGACAATTGGTAGCAAACCCAGAAATAGCAGCCCTAACTGTTACAGCAGGGGTTTCAAGGTGGTAATGGTGAGGTTGCTGTAAACAACTGCAACTCCCTGGCGGCAACGACCTCCTTTTGGTAGAAGTGTCTCTGCAAGAGTACCACCAATACATCAGTTTCTAAACAGACTTAGTATGTTGGTATCATTCTTCAAATAAACAAGTTTTAGTTCTTCAACAATATATCTAGCTAGTTAAAGACATACCTCTTTTTGTAGTGGTACCTCATCTAGTTTGAAAATTTTACATGCTATTTTACCATTAATGGCCACATCCAAACCATTAATTTAAGATTTAAGTTAAGGACCCTCATCTTTTCTTCCTTTTGTTATGTTAGATAAATTGATAGGGGGAAAAAAAATTTATCCTATAGCATATGACTATTCATCATGTTTACATATTCATTATGCATAAAGCTTAAGCTACTTAAATCTCATATAGGGAAGCCTTACTGACCCAATTAAGATTTTCCTATCAGGTGAACATGCCTCCCTTGACAAAAAAACTCTCATGTTTCCCATGCCCTCCGGATAGATTACAATGAGATTCAATAGTACTTCATCAAAACACAAAAAGAAAAAGCCTTCAGACTGACACCAGCAACAGGCATGTTCATGCTCTCACAAAATGAAATTGGCTTGTACAACCTTCCCAAAATAAACATAATCATTAACTAAATATAGCTGCATCTATTCCAGAGTCAAGTGAACCTTTTTTCTTTTGCCTAAAAGATTAACTTTTTATTTCTTTTTGTTCTCTGTATGCTTTCTAACAAAAGAATGGGTTGACCTGGTTTAGATTGGTTTGAGTGTTGCTGAATCCAGCAAACAGCTGAGCTGTTTTGAAAGAAAGCTTCCCCTCCATTATTTAATGTTTGTTTTCTCTTCTGCACAGAGAAAAGGCAAACAGTACTCAGATTTACACTGGGGAATGGAGGAGGAAAAACAAACCACAAACGCAAATGACTGCCTAATGAGAGTTTCAGTATTAAAAAAAAATATAATGAAAAAGCATCTCTTTACCCCTTTCATTTCCATTAGCATAATGTTCCAAGAATGTTAACTACATTCTTTTATCTCTTAGACACCAGTTTGCAGCTTAAGACAAAGCTAAAACCAAAGCTATAAATTACAAGTGGATCAAAAGATTTACATAATGACATAAGTTATTTTGTATATTAAGATTTGAATGATTCAATTTCTTTGATTTTGTTCCCAAGTAAATATTTTTCACTGACGATGGTGAACTGAAAATACAGCCTTTTAAACTTTTTACTTTATTGATACTTTGTGTTGTCCAGTTAGCACTGATTCTTACACATCTATCTTTCAGCATTTTGGTAATTTACATAAAAAATAAGATGAAGCTGATTAAGCTGGAAAACTAAAGAAACAGTAGTAATTGACATTGTATTGCCAGCATTGTAAATTGGTGATTTGAACAATAAAAAGACCTCCAAGCTAAACACCATGTAAACAATATCTGTTACTTTAAGACCACAAGGTGCATTTGGTGCTCCCTGCACTGCTTCAGGTCTTTAACTACTCCACCAGACCACAACACAGGAACCTCACACCTGAGCTTCTGTAGTAGCTACTAATTTTACTTAGGTTCCCACAAACCTTCTTACTCCACTGTACAATTCTTACTCCACTGTACAAAGTGGAATTTTACTTTCAGAATGGCAAATACCACCCATGTGACATGATCTTAAAAAAATTTAACTACCTGCAACATATAGTACAGTAGTCTGGCTGAATTTTTTTTATCTCTACACCCTGCGTTCAAGAAAAAACAACAAACCCTCAGACAGGTGGGCCCATTATTTTAATGAAGTACTTAGTCGCCTGTTACACGAGCTTGTACAAAAAACATGCGGACTCTGCAGCCCCTGCTGCAGACCATGTACACCAGCTAAAGCATTAAAAAAAAAAAAAAAACCAAAAAAACAAACCAAAACTCAAACAGCAACAACAACAAAGAATAAAAACAAACAAAAAATCCCAAAGAAACCGGCACTATGCTACGGAACTGGAAAGCGTCCTTCCAAACCAACTTCAACTTAAAAAAAACTACTGAAACAGAAGCAAGCAAGACAGACCAAACACAACTGCACTATTTTCCCTCCCAATCCCGCAGAAAAAAAGTGGTCCACCGCGGTTCTTCACCCGGGCTCGCTCTATCTGCCGATCCCTCAGCAGCCGCCCCGGCCCTGCACCGCTAGGGGCGGCGGGCAGCCTCGGCACCGGAGCCGGAGCCAGCCTGACAGGCCGGTTCCGCTGGAATGCTCTCAGCAGCCTGCTCTCGCCCTCTGCTACCAGAGACAGGGGACGGGGTGTAGGTTTTCCCCACCACGTGTGTTTTTTTTAAGGGGAGGGAGACACCCGCCCTGGGCACGCGCACACAGACACACACACACACACACACATACACACACACTCACTCCCAACAGCCAGACACAGCTGATCCCAGGCCCGTCACGCTGGCTCCTCCCCGCCCCTCCAGCGGGGCACAGTCACAGCGCAGTTCCAGCACCTTCTTCACCTCTTCCCCAAACTACTCCCGCGAGTGCCGCCCGAGCCCTGCTGCCGCCTTAGTGGGGAAAGAGGTCCTGCCCCTCTCTCCGCGCCGCAGAGGCGAGCTGGGAGGGGCGGGGGAGCGCGACGGCAGCACCCGGAGGGAGCGCAAGCCGCCACCGCTGCGCGGCAAGCGCGGGAGCACAGCGCCCGCCGTGCGCACGGCGCCGCGGGAGCGCAGCGCACCCCGCCCCGCGCGCGCTTGCACACCTCCGCCCCTCCTGGCCTCCGGTGTGAGCGACAGCTCCCCAGGCCAATAGAACAGCCTCTTCTACGCAAGGGGGCGGGCACTCCCTGCTCGGCGGACCAATGACAACATCGCTGCCTGAGCAGTGGCGTCCGTGAAGGGGGGGGGGGGCCGGAGGAGGGGCAGGAGTTTAGGAAGAAGAGGAGGGAATGGCTGTCATCAATGAAGTCATGTTCGTAATCTAGTCCCTCGCTCCGGCTCTGGACTCGGGTGACTCACTGAGGGGGGAGAGGAGCGACAGTCAGCACGGCGCTCCGCCCGGGCGGAAGGTAAATACAACTTGCAACTCGGTCCAACCCCGTCAGCTCCCCGTGCCCGGTACTGTCCTTTATTGTCACTGGCTGTGCTGGCTCGCACCGTACCCACCTTCCCTCTCCCCATTGCTCCCCTTCCCCGGGCACGGCCCCGCCGGTCCCAGCCGCCGCCGTGCCACCTGCTTCCTCTCCCCACCTTCCCCGGCGCCCGGCCCTCCCGAATATTTATATCCCCCAGTGGGTGGAGAGAAGAAAGTTTTGATCCGGTATTATTCTGGAATAATCACGATGCGGATCGCCGGAGCGGGAGCGACAGAACCCCCACGGAGTCGCCGGTGGCTGACTCGTGAGTCAGCGGCACTCTCGGTCTTGCCGCCCAGCGAGCGTGTCACGGGCTGCGGGCAAAGCGGCCACGGGAGAAATAGATCCTTGGGGAGCGACAGCCCAGACGGACGGGCCGGGGGAGGCTCCGCTGCAGCTGCCGGAGGTCGCAGGGTGAAGTTCAGGGTGTCCGGAGGCAGCAGAGCGCGGTGCGGTGGGGCTGTTTCTTTGCCGTGGCACACGCTGGCGCAGACCCAGCCGAGCGAGGGGAAGTGGGGAGGCATGAGGAGGGAGGAACATGGTGCATGGGGGAGCGGTCTCGCCTGCGAGGAGAGTAGCGGCATTCCCCGGCAGAGCCAGGGAGGCCATGATCCGGATCATCGCTGCCTGCCTGTCACAAACATTGCACACACCGGGGAGGTGGAAGAAGCGGGGGCTGGGACTTTAGCCCAACAGGGCTGCAGCTCCTGTTGCTTTTCGGTCTCTTGTTTTTAACTGTGCAGTCACTCCTACTGTAAAGGTGTCGCGGTTTACTTCCCAAAATAGCTTGCATGTCGTCGTACCCCTCCCGTTTTCCCTGCAGAAATTCGCCCCCCTCCTCCTCCCCATCTCCAAGCAGAGTAGCACAAAACATGCGCTTACAATTTTGGAATCGCCTGCCAAGCAAAAAAGCGTTTTATTTCCGGTGTGCGCGGAAATTTATTTTTTTTAACCCGGCCGGGCGGGAGCGAGGATGCAAACGCGCGTGGATGCTCAGGTAGCTGCGGCTCCCCTGCCCCTATGTCGGGAGAGGGGACGGCGGTGTTTGGCACCTGGAAAAGTTCTGTGCCCAGCCGGAGGCGGGGGTGGGCGGCAGAGCGCTGCTGCAGCCAGCTGCCGGGCGGGGCCGGAGGGCAGCGGAGCCCGTCCCCGGGCCGCTGCGGGGCAGAGGCAGGAGGCAGCGGCGGCGGCGGCGGGGAGAGGATAGGAGGGTGGGTGGCCTTTCTCGTCCCTCCGCCTGTGCAAGCGGCGGCGGATCAGGAAGTCACCGCCGCCACACACAGGCGCACAGACATGTTTGGTCGGCGTGACATGGTGGCGGAGAGGAGGAGAGGCGGGGAGACGGGCCCAGCCCAGCCCTGAGGCATGACCCGGCTGCTCACCCGGCCGGCCGCCCGCCCGCCTGCGGCCGAGGTACGGGGCCGTGCGCGGGCAGCGCCGTCAGCAGCGCACCCGCTGCTTCGTGGAGGGGCGGGGGCAGGCAGCAGCGGCGCCGCATTTCCAGGCAGGGACGTTTTACAGCCTGTCGGCCGGGGAGAAAACTTTCCAGAAAGGCTGGAGGGGGGAAAACAGGGCCCTTCTGGTTGTGCGCGCCCGCCCCAGCGCCTTCGCGGGGGAGGCGGCGGGCGGCCCGGCGCCGAGGCCTGCGCCCGCCCGTCCTGCAGGGCCCGAGCACCCGAGGGCAGAGCAGCGGTGCTGCCGCTCAGGGAGGGAGGGAGCGGCCGCCTTGTCCTGCCGCCCCCCGGAGCTCCCGGGTCGCGGGTCCTCCGCCGCGGCTCTTCCTTGTGTTCACGGTGCAGAAATGGAGTTTCTTACGTTGTCTCCTCCCCTCCTAAATTTATAATGGTGGAACTACAAACTGCGCACGGCTGCAAAAGTTGCAGCTCTTCTAACTCGATCTGAAGTTACAGTTTAACGAGCGACTCGGGTCGTTTTTTTGTTTTGTTTTTTTCCCTGAGCGTGCGTTATGGTCAAGTAGAGGGAGTGTAAAAGTGTCTGCAGATTACGTACATCGTACCGAATTTGTTTTTTCTTGATATCTGGTTCATATGTTTGATATTCGGACTTACCGAACGTAAGGCTAACGCTGTTCTTTTTAGGATGTATTTTTATGAATATTTATGTGAATATGAATATGCAAGTAAATAACTAGCTGAAGAATTGAAGAAAAAAAGTTGTTGATTTTTCGGTTTTTTGTTTGGTCGGGTTTTTTTTTCGCTGAAAGTGTTCAGCATGCTTTCGTTGAAGAATTGATCTGGGGTCTGTGACACGGCATTGTTCCGTTTGCATTCTCTCTTGTATTGCTTTAACTTTCTGAAGTGTTAAGTGGTTTTAACCACGGACTCTAAGACCCAAATGATAAACATTGTACCAGAATTTAATTCCTTTGGTAGTGTACCAGTTACTTGTTCGGGGTGGGGCAGTCTCCTCTGTGGAAGTTACTATTGTTGTGCAAATACAGGCACACTTTCTCTTTCCGAACCTAATTGCCCTATTACTGTCTCTGACTTTGTTTCTTTTGTCCTTTTGTGAGTCTAAGGAAAAAAAAGTAGTGTTTCAGAAGGATAGGCTTGCCTCAAGGCAGGTTGTTATATATATATCAGTAATAGAAAGCAAAAAGACTTTTTGTATAGTGAGCTTTTAAAATTTAGAGTGGATCATACAGCATATGTGGACTTACCAGAGGTGAGAGTAAATCTTCATTAAAAACATTATTTCTCTCATGAGTTATTTCTCAGCTTTAAGACTGGTATTTCTGTGGTGTTGCATGGAACATGTGCCAAAGGGCTGTGTTCAAAGCAGTCTTAAATCTTTTGTTTATTTCTGAAGTAGTCTATGAACGTTTCTTGTCAAGTTTAAGAAGTGCTTTCACCAGCACCTGAGGCTTGAAAATTGGGAGGAGAAAAATTCCTTCAGCTCGCATACCTATATTACATATATTCGTGACAAAGGTGTGTTTGAAATTACTATCTCCATATATATATATTTCTCAGGTTTTGTTGGACTTTTGAAGTTAAGGTCAAAATATACACAGTAGTAACTTAAAAAATGTCTATACTTTACCTCTGTTTTTTTGTCGTCCTGATGAGTAATATTGCTGTGAACTACAAGTGATCCTTTTCAGAAGGAAACTCCTCATACTTTGTGTGATTTAGAACATTTTTGCAAATCACTCCTCAAAATGTCTGTTGCATTTCTGTGTGTTTCCTGCTTGTGTCAGAATTCTCTGTGTGTAGTAGGTGTTTCCTGGACCTCCATCACTTTTGGACTTTATCAGATTAGGTTGGGTTTTTTTTTTTTGATTCTCTACTGGAATAGTAAACACAACATTATGGCATAAAGATTATTTGTCATAAAATTTGCACTAGAGAAAAGCTCATGTCTTATTTCCAAGATAAAATAGAAGGATGAATAAGGGAAGGAAGTAAAGCTTTCTTAAACACAGCTTTGATAGTTTGTAAATACAGTAGAATGAGAAGACTAACGCTGAAAATTGTTTTCTTTGTTTGTGACACCTGTATAAAGTCATTATTTATTAGGCATTAACATTTTCCTGTTTGTCTCCAGTTGGCAGAGAATATTTTCTATTTGTCACTTCAGAGTTTGAACACCTAGGTGGATCATTTAGAGGTGGGACATTGGAGAAAATGTTAAAATGATAAGTTGGTTTTTACAGTAAATATATGTTTTAAATACAAGTAACTTGTAACAAACAATTTTCTCCCTTCTTCCTCCTCTTCTTCCCTGCTTAAGTAAAGCCAAGGCCTGTTGGTAATATGGTGCATTTCTTTCCTTTTGCCTACATCTCTTACGGTTTTTTATTTAGAAACAAATGAGAAGACTGCGTTCAATAGCTGTGGTTAATACCTGTAGTAAAGCTCACAGTATGAAAACTTAATCCATGACCATTCAGTAGTGTCCTGTATCAGTTTTCTGTGCTTTAAATTTACAGCGGAATCTACATATGTAGCAAATGTGGAATTGATCTTAGAAATTGTCTGATGGCAATTAAACTTCTGACTGTAGCTATCTGCTATCTTCTTTTCCTGAAGGCTAGTGTCTTCTGCAGCAAAGCTATCAGAAAGGATCATATGTCTGTGCTGTAGTGTCTTCACAGTAAAGTCTGGCAGCGTAGCTTAGCCTAACTTGTGTGCACTCTGATTTGTGATTATGCCTTTTGACAGTCTAGAGTACTTTCAACTCCCAGCTGTTAACAAGTCATTTTTTGCTGCTGATGTCAGTTTTTCCTGAGAGGGTAGGCTATAAACTAGAGCAGCTGAGAAAAGTTGAACTTTGTGTTAAGCTGAAATATCTATACAGTAGGAGTAAGCATTTCTACAAGAATATTTCAAGGTAAGGAGTACTGATTATCATCCTAAAGCAAACTGTATCATACTACATGACTCCACAATAAAGTTTCTAGTGTAAGCATTCCACCTGTTTACTGAACTGTATGGGGATGCTCTCTGCAGTTTCTGGCAGAGAGCTAGACATGCAGCTAAAGGAGT